ATCATAGTTAGAAATGAAAAAGTTAAATAGGGCAATTAAATTTGGCTATAAAAAACTATGCTCACTTTGAAAAAGACTGGAAACAGAGGAAATGACTTTTTGGTTATTTGCAAAGAAGAGAATTATAACTTAGCCTCTTATGATAGACAAACTTAATATTAAAACCTGCTTGCAAGGTAATCACTGTCAGATCAAACCAAAGATAGATTAGGATAGGTAAACTTACCAGAGGAGGAAGACCCAACTATAAGAAATAGGTAGAAGCACAAAAAGGAAACAATAAAGAGCATAAGTTAATAAGTATATTGAACTTTCCTTCGAGTGGATAGATGAAAATGGATATATGGATAATTGATAGCGAGATGGAGAGTAAATTCGCACTCTACACTATTCCTTCAAATAACATTCACTGTATTCTACTCTATGCATGCAGTGCGTATTGTAACTATCCTCACAAATAAACACGCATTGATTGTTTCCTACCTTTTTGAGAGTTATATGCGCTAAATATTTCCTCATTAGATGCTTGAGGGTTTTCTTGTCTGTATTTAGAGGCGAAGTCTACAGCATTCCAGAAACTGGAAGAGTTAGAAAAACTTAAATCCATGTTAGTATAGTCGTTGTGAGTGGTAATTTTTTCTCGATTTTATTGATTTTATTGATTTAGATCATTTAGATCGTAGCAATTAATTTATTTTCTTATCAAAAAAAAATTAATATTAATAATGATGATGTAAAAATGTCGAAATTTCAAATTGCAAATTTTTAGGTTCGAACCAAATCAAAACACGATTCGTATTCAATTCGTATTGGATTCGAACGAAAATCGAATGATTTGAATTTCATTGATTCGTTTAGAGTCTCGAATATAAACTTTTAAAATTGATTTTTGATTACTTAAATAAATATTTTATTGTGAATAAATGTTTATAAACAAAATTAAAAAATACAATTTTCTAAATTTTAGTTTTAGGTTTAATAAATATAAAAAACCATTCATCTTCTGAAACTTCTTTATACCCAGGTGCCATAATATGAATTTCTTTATTGTTTCCATTATTATCATTTTCATCATCATCGTGAGCATTATTATCATCGACAACTTTATTTTTGATCATTTTAATTTTTGGCAATCTCGTTTTACCAGGTACCAATGGAAAACAGTTAACCTTGAACAGGTATGAACCTAATGGTGAAACATTAAAATAGGTCTGTTTATAGCCTGAAAATACAAATGTGTCATTTACTTCAACCATGACATCTATTTTTATTTGAGTGTTGGTCCAATTGATTAATTTTAAAGTTAGAGTGAATATTTTTCCAACAATTGATTTTTTTGGAATTGCTATTATTTTACGTTATAAAGAAAAAATAAATTATTATTAATGATAAAGTTTTTCTCTAAAAATAAAATTTTTATTTAAAAAATAAACTTTACTTAGTATCGCGGTTAAATCAGTTTTAGGAATTATTATTTGTGGCGTCATCATTGTTGTCTCAGTATATGGAATAAAAATATTTTTAATGAGTTCTTTTCTAAAAATAAAAAAATAAGAATTATTGGTAAATCTTCCATTCATCCTTAACAAGAACAAATAAAAACTTTGGAACTTAAATCAATTACCTTTTCCATTGAATGTCAAGTAATCCAACATCGATATTATAATCATTAGAAATATAATCCAATATTGTAAGTTCTAATAAATAATTAACCTGATGTTTATGACCAGTTTTCCATACTGTCAGGATAGAGAAAACAAAAAAAAAAAATTTAAAACCATAATTTTTTCCTTAAAAAAATGAGAAATTGTAAAAATAAATACTTTGATCTTCCAACTCATTGTTCTTTGATTCTATAATTTCAATTTTAGCTTGAGAATTCGCTTGACCCAACTAATAATATTATATACACGCAATGAAATTTACTAATCAGATTAAAAAAAAAAAAAACGAAATACTTTTTTAAGAATAGTTAATACCTACCAAAACCAAATCAATTCCAGTTACTAAAAGGTCCCAAGGTCCATTGCTTGTAATTTTTGCAGTCAAAAGATGTCGGTCAATTCTTTTAATGACGACGGGAGAATTTTCAGAATTAGTAGCATCTTTCTCATGCTTTATTTCTTCAATCTGTGGAACAATACTATAAGAAACTGTAAATGGTTCTATAAATGATACTTTAATTTCTTCTTTCTTTTCAACCCATTCTTGGTTTATAAAATTTGTTGATGATGTTGACAGTGACGGTGACAGTGGTGATGACAGTGGTGATGATGATGATGTTATAGTGGACGTGTTAGTTGAATACATAACCTAATATGAAATAAAACAAATAACAATAATAATAACGATAACAGTAATAATGAATATTACTATTATTATATATATCTTTAGAAAACTTTATAAAACAGTTTGATACTTACAACTAAATGTAATGTTCTAAAATTTATAGTCTTTTTTCCAATAATATAAATGGTTTTTACACAAGATTGACCTGCAGGTATTATATCAAGATCAATATCTTTCAAACTATTTAATCCATTGCTTGCAGGATCTAGCTTAACAGAATCTTCTGAATCTAAATAATAATAATCAAAAATTAACGCATTGATTTATTCTTAATTTTTAATATTTTAAAAACTTTTTTTTATTCAAAAAAAAAAAAAAAAAAACCTTTTGACTCGTTAATTATATCAATATTCATAAATGCCTTAACATCTTCTGATTCCAAGTTAGTGACAACAAGTTCAATTGGATAATACTCATCTAATAAAACTGGATTGGAAAAGTTTGCTTTGATTTCTAATTTGGGTGGTTTTTTTGTCACTCTAGAGAAAAGAATGGGTTATTAGCAATTAAAAAAATTTTTTTTTTTTACAAAATTTCCCTTTAAATGAAATAAAAATTATTTACTTTAATATATTTTGCTCTTTAATATTTTTAAATGTTGGTACAGTAGCTAAAAATAAATAAATAAATTCAATTACTATTCTTTTTTAAAAAAAGGTATAGATAAATCAATCAATAAATATCTTACCGGTTTTTATATGCCATTTACGTCTTGATTGGGTTTCACGTTGTCCACTTAAATCAAAACGGAGTTCGATTCTCCATTTAGTATTTAAAAATCCAAGTGTAACAACTTGAAGCTTGAAAAAAAAAGAAAATACAAGTCAAGTCATATTAATATAATTAAAAATTTTATATGATGCAAAATTAATATTTCATCATTTACATGAGATTCACCACTCTCTTTTGGCGTTATTATGCCTTCGAAAACTCTTGTTACACCTTTTTGAAAAATAAGTTTCACATCTTTCACCCATGCGTAACCTTCACCACCTTCAACCTCTTCCCAGGAACAATCTTTACAATCTATCAATTGAATTTTAGAGTCATCAATTTCCTCATCATCATGCAATTTATCCTTTAAATAATGATTAAAATGAGCGTCACTAAATGTGAAGCGTATGAATGAAAACCGTAAAGGCAAAGGAGGAGAATCAGGTGATGTAGTTATAGTGACTTGAAATAAAGTGGGTTCACCAACAAAAGCCATGGATTGTTTGAATTGAACATGACATGTTACTAGATATCAATTAATTTAATAAAGTAGCAGAAAATTTGTTAAGATAATAACATTTTATAAAATGGCAACCTTTTATAAAATTCTTGTATAATTTTTTTTGCGCACAAATTTGTAAGGATACAAAATGGACTTGTTTCATTCATATTAAGAATAACTGGCTTAATATTACCAAGATTCTCTATCTCATTCTATATTATTATTATTATTATATTATATTATATTATAAAGGAAAGAAAAAATAAATAATAAATATGACATAATATGACTATTATTAAATACTTTTGAATAATAAAATAACTCACACGAAAAATAATATTTGTTAACTCATTTTGAATTTCAGTTCTTTTTTGTTCATCCATAATAAATTCTAACAATCATAAAAATCATAATTTAATTAAAAAAAATTTTATATTTCATATGATCTATATTATATATATCTATTTTATACTTACGGTCTGATAAAAGTTCAATCAAATATTTGACAACATCTTCCCAATTACCAAGAACTTTTGCACACCTCAAGGATAATTGTAGAATTGATTCTAAAATAGTATGCCAACCTTCTTTACGATATGTTTTAGCAATTCTTTCAAAAAATCTAAAAAAAAAGAAAAAAACTGTTGTCATTTTATTATTTATAAATTAAAATCATACGTAAATATATATATATATATATAATATACTTTATTGCCATATCATATTTCCCAGATTCAAAATAAGTTTCTGCAATTTCGGAAGCAAGATAATAAGTCATACGACCGGGTTTCTGTTTTTTAAATTGTTCATAACTCTTTGTTAAAAGTTCAATTGTTAACCCTGAATGATCAAGCATCCGTTCAGCTTCTAATATAGAATCTGGTATCTTTGCAACAACGTCTATCCCTTCATGTATCGACTAATTTTTTGGGGAGGAGAAATAATTCATTGTTATATTTATTTATAAAAAAGGAATTAAATAATAAATGTATTTTTTCCTAACCTTTTCTATATCTAAAAATTTTTGTCTTTTAATAGAATTATATTTAGCTGCCAAATAATAATAGAAACCAGGATGTTGCAAAACCATGGTTGGATTTACACCAAAGTTTGGATTACTGTTACTGCTTAAAGAGTAACGATAATCTGCAGACAGTGATGGTGCTGAAATAGAGTGAGACAGTTTTGATGCATCTTGTATGATAAAACCAGATCTTGTTGCAACTTCTATTATTTCACCAAATACACGATATTGTTTAGACAACCATGACCAATACTCAAATGTGTCATCTTCTCCTATTCCTAACTTATTACATATTTGTTTAAATGTTTTCACATGTTTGTTTAATTGAGCCAAGGCACCCAAAGGTGAATCCATGAGAATACTTATTTTACAAATCTATTTAAATTTTTTTAGTAAATAAATGAATGTCTTTTTCAAAACAAAATGCCCTTTTTTAAAAAAGGATAATATTAATATTAACCTTAATGTTAATACAATCTGTCAAAATTCTTGCTTCTTCCCAACGTTTACTACGAATCGTTAGGCCGGGAGCTCCTGGTGAGATGACAGATTCAGGGGAGAAAAGATCCGTGAGAAGATTATAAGCTGATTCATAATAACTATTTTTACAAATAATAAAAAAAATTATTATTTATTGATGTTTGATATTATATGTTCAACAACCAGATAAATACTTTAAAGCGGCATCCAATTCTTGACGAAATTCAGCAAAAACAGCCAATTTATAATCATAACGAATCATCCATCCTTGAGTGCCAAGTGGTGTTGGTGCAGATAGTGGATAATCTATAAGTTGTTGTTGATTATAGCCAGGGCTGCTGATGCTAAATGATGAGGTTGCTCTTTTACGTTTAATTCTTTTACTATTTTCCCGATAATAATTTAATCCATGCTCATATAATGATTTTTGCAAACTTATTTTGTTATAAATAAATAAATATATTAATTGTAAGGGTAAATATTATATAAATTTATATAAAAATAATTCATATAATTTTATCTTACTTTATAACAAAATTTTGCAATTCGTCATATGAACTTGGATATAATACGAAGAAGCAATTTCTAACATATAAGCCACTAACTTTTCTTATATAATTCAACCTTTCTTCAATTATTTGATCTAAAATTATTATTATTATTAAAATCAACATATTACTGAATTAATTTAAAATTTTAAGGATAATTAAATAAATAATAAAATATGAAAATTCATCAAATACCAAAAGGTGTTTTTATGACAATTACTGCAGCAAATTTAATTCCTCTATCTGTTAAAGATTTTCTATCAAAATAATAAATAAAATAAAATTAAGTAATTATTTAAATATATGTGTAAAACACAAACACACACATACACATATAACTAACAACCTCTTTTCATTAATTTCTATTGCTAAAGCGTGATCTCTTTCCTTTTCTGGATTTTCATTAAAACCCAATTGACCTTCATCCTGTTTACCCTCTGCCAAGGAGACATTACCACCACCAACACCATCACCAATAGCAGTACTAGTAGTAGTATTAGTAGTAGGTTTATACCATAAGTCATAAAATCCAACAACTACACATGGCAAAATTTCTCGATGTCTTCGAACCCAAAGTTGAGGAATTAAACCATCAGGATGTACCGGAGACCCTGGTGTATATGGCGATAGTGAGGAATGATGAGGTGTTGATGGAGGTCTCAATGGTTTTCGTGGAGGAAATTGAAAATTCTAATATATAATTCAGAGATTCGATTGTTTTATACTAGATGTCAATTGTTCTTCTCTAAAATAATTTAAAACATGCGGCTCTTTGTAAATTAAAGGCTATGAACAATAAATAATTACAATATGAATAAAATAATGGGGGAATTTAAAATAACTTTTTTTAAAGAAAAATAATATATAAATTCTAAAACACTAAAAAATTATAATTTCAATGGTTGTTAAATCTATGGAATGAAGGATCCATTCATTTATTTTTTATTAACGAACCTTATCAACAAATGTCACATTGAATGTTGTATTAGAATTTTTCCCAAGATCCCAAACACTAGCTTGAGCTTTGTTCACAAAAAGCGATATTAAAGATTGTGATATTTGATTAGTTGTTAAGCCTGGTAGAGTATTAGAACTTGATGAATTTCGTTGTAAGCCACTACCACCAGATTTTGGATTGACAGGAGCGGGAGGATTATTATTACTGTTGGATTGTTCTGATGACGAGTCTTTTTCTCTGTTTAGACCCATCACCATCATTAAAGGAACATGCGGAAGAATAAATTCTGGTGGATAACTATCCATAATTTATTTAATTGCAGAATCTCGGAAAACAAAAATTTTTTTATTATTATTATTTCTGAGTGTAGTCACGTGGTTTACACAATTGAAATCTTGTACTAGGGGTTATGGTTCAAACGCTGCATATGGTGCGGGTCACTCTAACACATCAAATAACTTTAAAGCTAAACGGGGAAATATTGAATGCTAGTCTAAAAAAAATAGTTGACTAGTTCTACAATCCATCGTCGAGATAACTTTAAAAGAATTATTAGTTCCAAGTAATGTTGTTTGACGAAATGTTACCAAAGTTGTAAAACTATTACGTCAAATTAACCATTAATTTAAAGGCTAATAAATATAAAAGCTCACAACAAAAACTTGTAAATATATATTCCAAGGTTCCCAAGGAGCCAAGTTTTTCTTTTGCTGAATACAAATTCAATTCCACGCACTCATTATAACATGATACATTATCGGGAGATAAAATCATCATCGGGTCGACTAATCTTAGTGTAATTATTATCAAGCTACGTTGTAAATAATTACGGAAGCTTTTAAAATATCAATATTGATTGATTAAGTTACAAACCCATCTTTATCTTTATCCTTATTGTAGTGAACGATGAAAATTTCGTTGAGAATAACTTCTGGTCCTCGCGGAGGAAAATAATAGATAATTAACTGTGATAGAATATAAACTTTTAAAATAAAAAACATTGTCTTTATTTTCTTTATTTAAAGCGCTTTGATAAAAGCAACAAATATAGTTAACAATTATAAAGCTTTGGTAAAAAGCTACGTTTATTTGCTTTAGTGAGCAAGTAAGCTAACGTTGTTGGTTAACTAATGAAGTATCGTCCAAAGGTTAATTGAAAATACTGGTAGTATTATTGTAATCGTAAATGTAAGGGTAAACAACTGAAACAAATTGATTAAGTGTGCTCACAGATTCGTCTAGGTGCAGTGATTGAGAACCAAAGTTAATTAATTAAGATTAGCCCAAAGTTAAGATATAATTGTTAATTAACCGAAATGATGCCTCGCAATATCACCATTTAACAAGAATAAGAAAATTGTAGAAAGTTTATTATAAAATAAGAATAGAATAAAAAGATAAATAAAAAGAAGATAATAAATTTATAGTGGAGACTAAATTAGTCATTCATCGCTTTACTAGAGTTTAATCAATTAATTAATATTGTTAGTTATGATTAATTAATGGATATTAATTCCAATTGATTAATAATGAAATTTTTATTCACATTCTAGAGAAAAGAATTAAAATCAAGATCATTTAACGAACTATCATTACTTGTATAAATTTTAATGCTTTTAGATTTAGCAATCTCTTCATCTAATATTCTACTTGTATGATAGGCATCTGGATGTGATTTGTGTGCTTGTTGCAAAGCATTACCACCACTGCCACCATCGCCACCACTGCTGCTACTACCACCATTATTAAAATCAATTTCATGTTTTTTGATTTTTGAAAATTTGAATAATCTTTTTATTAAACCATTATTATTTTTCAAACTTTTATTTTTATTAATAATTTCTTCAAGTTTATTTTCAGAAAACTCACACAGCTCTTCACTAGTTGGTCTTTTGGATGGATCCACATCCCAACACCTCTGCATCATTTGCACATAATCATCAGGCATTTCAGGTAATATTGGTGGTCGTAA